CTGTGTGTGTGTGTGTGTGTGTGTGTGTGTGTGTGTGTGTGTGTGTGTGTGTGTTTATGTATCTAGTGACTGTGACTAAACGCTATTAATTTTCTCCCTATGTAGGAAAACATGAGATCATTTCTTAGGAGGAATCTGTCAACAACCTAATTATGTTAAACCATCAGCAAACAAACCGAGATTTTGCAGAGCCCCCCCACCCCTTGGCCCCAGCATAATTTTGAATGCTGATTGGAAAAATATTTGCAGTGCAGAGCAGGCTATATCTAAACTCCAATTGGGATTTTCCATTCATCGTCCTACCCATGCCCTGTTCTCCCACTCACCTGTCACCTCAGGACCATGAATGCTTGACCAGTGCATTCCAACACCCAAGGCATGTTACTGAATCCCCACTCAAAGCCCCATCCTAGTGAGAGTCAGGGGATCTAAGTTTCTGAGGCAAAACCAAAACAAAGCCACAAATATCAGTTCATGGAGTGCTACTGAATGGTCACTTGTCATCTTCTTGAGATTTTAGGAGGCCTTTTAATCATCAACATTTGAAAATAATTCAAAAACATTGAGGAGGGATTCTTGGGAGGCAAGAGATCTAGAATCAACAGACCATCAGTGTATTTTGCAGACCCATATGAGCCCCATGGTGTCACGCTTCTATCAGTTTAAAGTTGTTTGACGTTAATGTTTCTCCTAGATCTTATATTATCACTCATTTGCCAAAGGCTTTTCATGCAAACCTGAGCTATCCATCACAAAATATCATTATTTACCTGGAAAAAGGAACAGAAAAAAAAAAAAAGGATACAGGCACTTGGTAACTCAGAAACTCTTAACCTTTCTGAGACTCACTTTCCTTATCTGCAACACAGAGACACATACATTAAATGGCAAAAATAAAAATGAACAAGACCTAGTGTTTCTTGAGGACTTATAACTTGCATGGCATTATTCTCATTGCTTTGGCTATACTGACTCTTTTAGTCGTCATACGAACTCTGCAATGTAGGTACTATTATAATTTCCATTTCTTAGATGAGAAAACAGAGGTACACATAGGTTAAATAACAGGCCTGGGCTCATATTATCAGTATTATAATGCAAAAACTGAAGTTATTAATATTATAATTATCTTTCAGCATGGCTGTAAGAAATATATCATTTTAATGTTAAATTAAAAAGCAATAGCCAATGGCCATTATTAATAAAACAAACAACAGATGTTGGCGAGGATGTGGAGAAAAAGAAATGCTTCTACACTGCTGGTGGGAATGCAAACTAGTCCACCCACTTTGGAAGACAGTGTGGTGACTTCTGAAAGAACTAGAAATTGAGACCCAGCAATTCCCCTATTGGGAATGTACCCAGAGGAATTCAAATCATTCTACTAAAAAGATACCTGCACACGAATGTTTGCTGCAGCCCTATTCACAATAGCAAAAACATGGAACCAACCATGCTGCCCACGGAAGCTGGACTGGATGAAAAAAATGTGGTACATGTACACAATGGAATATTATGTAGCCATAAAGAAGGAAAAACATATGGACTTCGCAGCAACTTGTATGGATTTAGAGTCGAACGTACTCAATGATCTATCACAGAAACAAAGAACAGAGTACCATATGTTCCCATTCATAAGCAGACCTTGAACAATTATCATAATACTATAAGAAAGGGATTAACAGTTGTGAGAAACTGTCAGGGGATGGGGTGGAATTGGCAGTTGAAGAAAACTGCTAGGGGAGGGAGGGGCACACCTCATCAACAAGGGTATCTACATAATCAACATTTGTATACCTAGCCCTGAATTGTACCCTACATCTTTACAATTAAAAAAAAAAAGCAGTAGCTATCCTTTGTTAAATAATTGCCATAAAGCAGGTGCCATAGTAATCATTTTTATATAAATGATCTAATTTAAACAAATTAAGTTTACTGAGTAGATTTGAATAAATAAACTTAAAGGACTTAAGTAAGTACATTTTAAGTCTACTGGGGTGGGTTGGAGTAACATTCTATGATAACCTACATTTTATAAATATGAAAACTGAAGATTAGAGAGGTTCATAACTTGACTAGACACATGGCTAGCAAGAGACAATAGTAACCTATTTAAATCACAACTTCCACAGGGGTACCTGTACAATGAACATTTGTATATCTAACCCTGAATTGTACCCCACATATTTAAAATTAAAAATTAAAAAAAAAATCACACCTTCCGACTTCCTAGCTCTCCTAGCAATTAATATCTCATTATTAGTTAACTTAATGCCAGAGGAATGTTAACCATAGGGCTTGGGTAGAATCCAAAAAATACCACAGGACATAAACCCATTCAGTACTAACTACCTGCTTTGGACAGCCTCCCGGTACTCCTGGTACTGGACGTGCTGTCACCCCTGGTGAGCACCGTGATGCCCCCAAAACTCGCAGTCTTGGTCATGGTGGGCTTCAGATTGCGGTTTGAACTGTCGGAGTCTGTGCTGCTCCAGGCCCTTTGGTGGTCAGACCACTTGAGTTCATTTTCCGAGCTGCTCTGTCGACTCCCAGATGTTCTCCCTGAGCCATCTCTGTTGCTCCTGAAGCACAGTCACCAGAAAGATGCATAGGGACAGGATTACCTTACATTAATAGGGTGAATGGGCTCAGAGCAGGGCTTTTCCTGGAAGAGCCATCAACACAAGACCCTTCTTGCCAACCTTTTTCATTAAACCAGTTGCCTCCCAAACAGCGTTACAGATACTTTGATGATGTACAGACGGATAACATGTCACACATAACACACATGTTATAGACAGAAAAAACCAAACCTAGAAATGTCACATGATTCCTCTGCCGGTGAAGAATAACAATTGGAAAAATATGGTATAAAATATAATTGTTAACTTCTCTGGGAGAGAAGATAGGGGGATAAGTTCTCCTGGCCCAAATCAACAATGAATTAATGTTCAGAAGTAATTATAATCTTAAATCATCCCAAAAGTAACTCCCATCACATAAGAGTTATTTAAGATCTCAAAAAGCATTTAAAAAATGCTCACAGGTGCAGAGAAGTTATTTATTCATTCATGTTCCAACTTTATGAGACATATATCTGAATTCACCAAGGCTTTGACAGACAGCACAGAAATCACCGAACTTATTCTCTTAATCTATGGTAGGAATTTTGCCCTGTGAGTTTGAGCTTTATGGTAAGATGAAAGAGTCCTTTAATTCTTTTCCATAGACAAACTTGTGAAACTAACAACAGTGCAAACACTATACTCTGACATGAAACTTTCCAAGGAGATCAATGGAAATAACATTAAAGCTCCTTAAGTGAATGGACACATTGGTTCCAAATAGAGTGAATGTATTGAAAGCAATCCAATAACCAGGAGTGAATTTTGAAGACTTTAGTCTAAGAAGTCTGCAAACTGGCCTGTGTTTTATAAAGAAATTTGACAAAATGTGCATTTTCACTGGTTTCTAACCTGTTTAAAAAGTAACTTTTTAAATATTTCCAAGGCTTCTTCTGCAGGTGGAAATAATGCATTGGTAAAATACCTGAAGATTCTAATGGATTATAAACCAGTGGAGGAAACATAAATCATGAACAATAAATATAAACCATAATTTTGTATCAACAATGTGACATATTCAAGTCTTGAATCATATCTAACAGATATAATTGGTAGCTTTGTTAAAAAATAACCTTTTAAAAACAATGATGTATTGTTGAGAGGGTAGAAGTTCACGAATGTGATTGAAATATTCACCAGCCAAATTTGTACAGTAGGTACACAGAAAATTTTAGGTTTTGCCTCGACTTGACTTGCTAAACTTTTAATTTTATTTCAGGAAAACTTAAGTAGCCAAATGGACCCAAGAGGTAATAAAAATGATACAGTTTATCGGTGACAGGAATTTTGTAAAGCAAGGGAAGATAGTAAAGAATTATGAAATTATAGGATTTCCCCTAAAATCCAGAAAGCTCATAAAACAAAAAGCACTTCTGAGAGGAACATTTGACGGTACTCAGTGCCCTGCCATCTTCCATCGACGTTTTCTTATAAACATTTTCTCTGTTCTCAGTGTCTCAGGGATGGCTGGTTGTAGAAATAAGGACCACTTGACAAAGATCAGGTTGCAGGTATGAACTACCACATCTTTACCAGTAGTCAAGTGACTGAGGCTTTCAAACTCCTTGGAAATTCAAGAAAGCCATAAGAGGTAGAATGCAGGAAAAAACAAAAAACAAAAACAATCATATCAAGGATTTGATGCTCCATTTTTATTATTTTCTCTTTTAACCTCCAAATTCAGCTTCATTCTTCTCCTCTATAATCCTGGTTATGTGAATTCATCTTTGACAAAGTCTAGTAAATAATTATTTAGCAACTGTTAATGCACCAGAATTGTGACAATAATCTCATTTGCAGCTAATTTGGAATATTTATTATAGGAAAATACTGGATTGAAGATTCAGAGGTGATCCTTAGTCTCAGCAAGCTGAATTCATCAAAAGGAAGCTCTCTCTTCATTTAAAGGTGACCCCTTTTTTCCTATCATTAATTCTGGATCAATTATACCTTTTTGAACGACCTCTGCACCACCATGGTGGAAATCCAGACTTACTCTAAATGTCAGTATTCCTGGACCTTCTTTGTAAAACCAGTGACCTCCACTATTTCTAGATGCAATCTAGTGTGTTGTAGTCTGCACTCTTCATCCTGGTAGAGCTGTTTCTAGAGCTGTGAGGAGTTCTCTACACTTGTGTCTTTTGGTCAGTAAGTCAACCTAAGACTCCCTTAACTTCTCTAGGTCTACTCCGCCAGCTCAAATCAGTGTCTTAAGCCAAATTCTGTGCACTCTTAAAAGAAGAAATTTAAGTTGTTGCTTTGGAGACTTAGCATTAATGAGATTCAAAACTAATGTATTCATATGTAATTTATGATTTGTAGATTTTTATACACTGAAGCATATTTTATACTGTTCTATTTCATAATTCTTTACCATCTTAAAAATGGCAAGGCAAGGTCCAGAATTGAATTCCATATTGATTTGAGTGTGGGATCATAGACATCGTAGAAAATCATATCCACAGTTACGTTCCCATTCCTCCTAAGGCCAGTCCTGGTCCCCTTGTCCTGGAAGCCAGGAAGGCCATAGTAATTAGACATCTGGTCATTGAAGCCAGTTCAAACTAGAATTTGATTCCAGGGTATATTAATATTAATATATTAATATTCTAAGTTCTGTTTTTGTGCTGATTAACATAATTGATAAAATTTATTTTCCTCTACGTCTAAATTGTTTTTTGTTTTTTTGCCCAGGTTAGAGATGAGGTACACTTTGAATTGCTTTTACAATTGTGTATATGGCTTTGTGATAAGTTATCTTCCTGAGTTTCTAGACTTGGTGATTTTGGTGGGTGATGGAATCCATATCTGGAATGGCTAGACTGAACATATGGTAGCACTGGCTTGGGGCAGATTTGGGAATATGTAAGACTAATTGATCTATTCGGGACAAAAACTTCATGTTTTTAATGCAGTGACCTAAACAAACTAGATCATAGTGTGTAAGCACAGGATAATGGTACATTTTATTTCTTCTCTGGGCTTTCAGAAGAGAAACGCAAGGCTCTTTTCTTAAATATTCAAGTGTGAAAAAGAAATTAGATTATCTAATGAGAAAAATATTATACTATCTGTAGTTCAACCTAGAAAAGTGAAGGAAGTTAATAAAGAAGTTTCTGTTTTTGTTTCTGCCATAGTGTAAAGGAACAAATTACTTTAACTTCACTAATAATGCAGTCTAAAGTTCAAATTTACCGCAAAATATACTTTCTAAGCACAAAATTCATCTGCTTTTCTAAGTAATGTTTTCCTTCTAGGAAGGCAGGAGTTTTCAGGGACTTTTTTGTTGTTGTTACTTTTTCTACAACAGAGGTAAATTATAATAGTCATAAACACATTAACATATTAAATACACATATTGAATATTTAGTATATTTATAGCACTGTGTACCCTTTGCTCTATAGTGGATGCTAAAAACACATTTAATAGATTTAATAGTGAGAAAATGGGCATGGTCCCTCTACTTTCATGGAGCTAACAGCCTAGTAGAGAACTTTAAAATAATTTTCATAGTTCCCGTTATCCCACACAGATATTAATTTAAGTAGTTCATGATAATTGGAACTCCAAATCTTTCTTTAGAAATAGAATCCAAGCTTTAAAAAAAATGTTTGAGATATTATGATGGATAACATTTAAAATTAGCTACCCAAATAGGGTTACCACTGATGTACTTTCCAGTGTTGAGAATGCACATACAATTGCAACCTGTCAGGTAAAATTTAACTCAGTGTAATTCACCAAAATTGATTTGGAAATTTTAAAGCAGTGTGCTGCCAAAGTTAGTCCCTGAAAATCAGAAAACCAGAAGAGGAATCCTAAAGAACTGTAAACCGAGTGATAGCTTTCCAGTCACATATCTGCATTATCCAATATGACTTTAACACTAAGTTTGTAACAAGCTTACCGGAGAGATAAGTGGACATTTTTTTGATGAACATAAATATTTTACACTAATACACTTATAGTTAACATTGATTCTGCCACATAATCTGAAAACACAGTTTAAGAAAGTAAACCATACCAACCGAAAGAGCTGTCTTTTCTTATAGGTCTCATTGCATATGTTACTGTCTTCCAAGAGCCTACTGGAAATGAAAAACATGATTTTTATGATATGAAATCTAAGAGTATTAAGTGCCCTATGCTCAAGGTATGTGTGCCCTACTATAGCACACCTTTCTTGTAAATCAATCCCATATGCTGTCTTTTATTTGTGTGATGTTGAACTTTGCCATAATAAATTAGTAGCATTATGACAAAATTGAGATCCCCACTTTAGGCTTAAGGCAATGATGCCAGGTAAGGGGAGAGAGAGGAAAGAAGAAATAGAATAGAAGAAAAGAGGAGAATAAAAGAAATTGATATAGCTATAAGAAGAATTTAATTAAATATATTACTTGTGATTATTAAGGGTAATATGAAACCTATTCTCTATTTCTTGGCATAGTGAAATATTGACATTCCAGAGGACAGTATCCAAGAAATACATTTACTTTTTCAGGGGAGACACTCAATTAGATTTTTACTTTTGGGGACCACCAAGACCTATTCACATATATAATATAAAAGTATATATATATATCCTCCTATTTATACATATATAGGAGGATACCCCAGAAAATTCAGAATTTTTTTTTGGAGGGTGGGCCCCTTGCAGTATAGGTTTCCGCCACTAGGTTAAGTGTTCTAGGAATTAATCAGCGTCAGTGTACCAGTTAGTGTTGTTGTTGTTGTTGTGAGAGGCTACATTCCACTTCAGTGAATTTTGGGGGGAGATTTTTTTTCCACGCATTTGCCCATTTCATGATGAGTGATTTATGAGTGCACTGCCCACACCGCACTGATTGTTTGGTAGTTTTTCTTTTTACCACAAACGGCATGACCCCATGCCCCACCCTCCCTATTCACCTGATCTCACCCCAAGTGACTCTCTTTTTGTTTGCCGATGAAAAAGTCTCCAAGAGAAACGTTTTGCTCATGGGGAAGAGGTGAAACAAAAAATGACAGAAGTGCTAAAAGGCATCGACGTTGACAAGTTCAAAACGGTTTTGAGCAGTGGGAAAAGCACTTCAGTTGGTATACTGTATCAAACGAAGAGTATTTTGAAGGTGATTGAAGTTTAAACATGTAAGAATAAACACACAATTTCTTATAAATAAATTCTGTTATGGGGGAGTCCCCCCGCATATGAACAATTGTGTTAATGTTAAATACGATCCAATTTGAATTTAAGAGAAACTTAAGTGCAAATAAATAAGATTAAGGAGTAAGATAGGAGAAATGATGGGCTAAGGGACTAGAGGATATGGTTTCCCAATAAGCTGTAAATGCTCACTTAATATTTTTGGTAAGGAAACAGAGCATTAAATGCTTCAGATCTCCCCTCCACCAGAAGCTAATTCTCATGTATTCATAGTTTTACTGTAAATAGTGGATATTTGTCTAAACATATATGGACTCCGTCTGAAGTTGTGTTTGAATCCCATATATGGACTTGTTTTTGAATTGTATATCGTCTTCCAGAAGAGGTTATTCTATGAAAGGATTTAGTTACCTGAAGATTTCTAATTGCAAATATAAATTATGGCGTTTATTTAATTTTTTTTACCAATCATCTTTAATGCTCAGTTTAAATTTATCTAAGTACTGGCATTTAATCAGTATCCATTCTAATCAGTGTTACAGGGACACCCATTAAGCCAGCACCTGAGGTAAAATTAACTACTACTTTATTTATAGGTACCATATTTACCGACCATGTTGCCCATTTTGATGCATCTTAAATGTGATTAGTACAGTTAATCTGGATTCCTTAATTTGCCCTGAATATCTGCAATTAAATCAATGGGACATTTTAATATCTAAGTTGGTTTAGAATGATTTCAAAAAGGTGTATGTTTAGTTTGAAAAATTTCTGTTCGTATCCTCAAGATTTTCTGTGAATTTGATTAACGCTTTATTTCACAACCACCACCTTCCCCTACTAACTCCTAAGCCAATACACCATTTTAGATAAGGTTTTCAAATCTATCTTTTATGAAGACTAGCAGATTGTATAGAATAAAAATCTTAATATTATTCAAATTATTATCTGTATAACTATATATACTTATGGGGTATTAAAAGTGGCTAATAATACCAAATATACAAGTACTTTTAGCAGCCTATTGAATAAGCCAATGAAACTGCAAGTTCCTGTGTGGTGTCAATATTTATTCTTTTTAATGCCTGGTGAAGGTAATAGGAATTTCACCTTTGGAAGGATCAGAAATTGAGACTTTATCAAGGAAAATGTCTAAAACTCTTCTTGGAAGTAACTGAGAGAACTTTTTCCCCAAATTAAATAATTTTGAGATGTGCTAAATAACATATATGTGTGAATATATATGTGTGTACACAAAGATATATGTATTTACTTATACATATATTCAAGCACACATATATATGATATATATGTATTTATGAATATACAGGACACACATGACAGACTTTTTTCTTCTAAAGACATGAAAAGTTAAATTTCATTTTACCTGTTTTCCACAAAAAGGCTTTCCTGGGAGCAAACTGACTGAAAAATAAAAAAAGGTATTGTATCAGACGTTCTGGATATGCTGAGGGATCCCAAATCCTTTTCTGATTTTAAAACTAATTTTCCCCTCATAGAGGAAAAGGATTAAGAAAACTATGTACAAAAGATGGAAATAAAAAAGGAAAAAAATAGGTTAGCATTAGAAGAGGAGACAATACTCATGCAGCATATGGTACTTTTCCATCAGGGCATCTCATCTTCAGGTTTCAAACAGACTTAGCCCGTTCAGCATGGAGGTCAGAAGAAGAGAAATGTGAATGAAACTGCCGGAGAAACATGTGGTCGTGAATTCTGAGCTATCGGTTTCCTTTGGAGCTGCAAAAGTGCAGCAACCAACTAAAGCCAAGGGAAAGGGTTCAAATCAGGACAGAGCATGCAAACTCCACATGATCCACCTAAGGATGAGAGCCACAAAGCCACAATCCTGCAATTATTTACTGGGAATGATAAATTCTCACCATAGAAAGTGATTGATCGCATGACTCTCAAAACTGAAGAAATGCTACCAATCATTAATCTTAAGTAAGGGGGAGGGCAGAAGACAAGTGAGATAAAATGAAGATAATTAAGAAATCTATCAAGCTCCAACTAAAATTTCTTATTTTTTCACACGGAAAACCAATGACTTTCTTCTTAGCTTCCAATCACCAAATATTCATGTCTCTCCTAGCTTGTGTTTAATACACAAAATTCTATTACCATTATGTGTTAAGGAAAGATGGATCAAATTAAATTCAAACAAACACAGAAAGAAGTATCTAGACAAAATATGGTATTGTGGTCGTATAATAGGGTAACTGTGCTTAGGAAGTAACACAACACCATTTCCAAAGTACTAAGCTTCTAAACACAAATAAATGCACACCATATTATATGAGTAGATTTTTTAAATGATGAATAAGTGACTTGTTAAAGGGATAGATACTTGACAGGTCTATTTTAGGATACAATAAAGGTAATAATGACCTTTTAATAACTAATTATTGACTTTAAAGATGCTGCTAATGTGTCCACCACTCAGAGAGGCAAGCAGAATATGTTTTTCTTTTCATTTTGCTAGAGAAACAATTTTCTTCCACCAAGCTCCATCAGCGCTCTAAGTTTTTCAGTGAAGGGATGTCTAGAATAGTTTCTGTTTTAGCCATTCTGCGTTTAACACATATCCTGAATTTCAAATGTGCAAAAATTGTATTTTTAGAAAGTCAAAAGGAGCCAATTAAAAGATAAAGTTTTTCAGAAAATGTAAAAAAAAAAAAAATGCTCGACACTTACATATGGAAAGAGAAACAAATATAAAAGATGTGCCATTAACATTCTTAGGAAGATCTCTTTACAGTAAACTAAATATCCTATCTTCTTTAGTCCTTTAGTTTGTTTTCATTTACTTTAGTTTGGCTGGAATCAAATGACGGTATGTGAAAGAAAATGAGGTTGCCTCAGACACACATTATGATTTCAGTCCTTGCTCCTTCTCAGTTCTTGTAGTTGGAAAAGGGTGATTAAGTTTATAAGGTTCCACCTGAGTATTAGAATTTATTGAGACTGTATTTCTTGGAAGGAGTTAATCAAACACATGCTGACCTCTTCAGACTCATTAATCTAATAGCATTTGAGGAAACGCTGCTGTCCAAACTTGAGTTAAAAAGTAAGACACCAGCAAGTCAAAGATAACTTTCCCAAAACATCTCATGTATTTTTCTTTTTTTTTGGAAAGGTCTTTAAAATTCATCTCATCAGTCCCTCTTGGCCTCATCGCATCATCATCATCACATCATCATAAATAAGATAGAGACAGTTATAGGTTGTGATTCAGCAGCTTATGACAATAAACTATTTTTTTAAAAAAAGAAGTATTAATAATTTGCAAATTTTAATAACAGAAAAAGATAAAATTGTCACAGTAATTAAGTGCAACATTCAAAGCTGTCACTTATATGCATTCTCAGTTATAGAAGGCTTGTTCCTTTTTAAAAAGAGAAAAATGATTTTGCCTAATGCATTATAGTTCTCTCCCACACCCCACCCCCATCCCTAGTGGCACCACATGCCCTGATATCCTATTTTCACTGAAGAGGAATCTCAGTACATGCTAGGAGGACCACTGATTAACTCCTCCTTGAATACCTATTTATACATAAATATCCTTCAAAAATTACCCTCCGGGCAAAACATACCTTCTCAAGTGCATTGCTTTACCAACCTCACCTTCCTGAATTTAGCAACATTGTATAGAATTAACCATAAAATAAGCTTAAATCCTTGCCAAAGGAAAAAGAAATAGTTATATTTCAAATATTGCTGATGACAAAAACATATTTATTATTCGAGAACTAAATCTTGTGTGTTCTGACTTACAACTTTTTAGTTCTCAAATAATAAAGAAATGTGCCTTATCTCAAGATATCAGAATTCTCCAACTATATTTGAAATTTTTTTCTAGAAAATCCTCAACCAAATCTTCAAATTTTGAGTGTGTGCTTGCATACAAAAGTATGTACACACACACACACACACACACACACACACACACACACACACACAACACAATCTCTCACTCACACAAATGTAAACATCTTGGATACCAACATACATTGGGAAAAACCCAAGAATGTTTCTAATTTTAACATTAATTTGACTTTTGCCAAAGTGTCAAAGTACTTCTGAACGCTCTATTATTCATTCGAGTAGCAAAAATATACACTTAATCAATATTTGAATTTGTTTTTAATAACACTGCTACTTAAATAATAATGCCAAGGAAAGCTGCTTTGTTAGTTCAAATTTTAAACTATGAAGAAACTAAATGGCCAGCCAAGGAAAAGGCTAGACTTATATACTATTTTCTTATGCTGGATTCTTTGCTTTATCATTGACTTAATATACTTTAATTATCATTTTAAGGCAAAATAAGATCATGTGCCTTAAGAAGTTGGGCAGTGGTAATCATCATCTGGGGATCTAAGTCCCCTAAAGTGTGCCATCTTTACCTAAGTGGTAGGGAAGATTTGCTACTATATGTATTCAAGAAAGTTGACATTGCTAGGTTATGTACAAAAGAATTTGTATCAAGATAAGATACAGTAATATTCTGTTAAAACAAGGTTTCCTCCAATGATCCCTGTCTCTTGACATTCACAACCTTGTTTGGTACCTCTTACATTGTTATAAGGTTGGTCTGCATGTCCAGGACAATACAACAGAAGAGAAGATAGACTATTTCCAAGATGAGGTTATAAAAGTCTGTGTGGTTTCTGTCTTGGGCTTTGTCTCTTTCTCTCTTGGATCACTTTCTCCAGTGGGAGCTACTTGCCATGTCACCAAGACACCCAACAGCCTATAGAGAAGCTTACAAAGTAAGTAACTAAGATCTCCAGCCTATATCTACTGAAGAACTGTGAGGCCTGCCAATAATCATGTATTTGACTTTGGAAGCAGGTAACTTTCAGATGATTGAAGGTTAATCATCTTGATTGATCAAGTCTTCATCAAACAGCTCCAGTTGACAGCTTAAATGCAACTCCTTGGAAGAACATGAGCTAGAACAACTCAGCTGAGGCTCTCCCAGGCCCCTGACCCACAGAAACTGTGAGATAAGTATGCTTTGTTTGTTTTAAGCTTCCAAATTTGAGGATGATTTGTTATAAGACAATAAATAGCTAATATGCAGAAAATAATAATGTTAGCAGAGCTATGAAGTTAGGGAGAAAGACACTAGGAATATTTTTTCCCCCCAAGAAATAGGCTCTTAACCTTTTAAGAGTTATAGAAACTTTCTAGAATATAATAAACAATAAGGATTTTTTTTGGAATAAAAATGCACATATGTTCACAAACATAATTTGCAAGGGTTTTATAATATCAAGTATTTCATTTAACCCTGAAGGCCCTTCTGCAAGTATAGTCTGCCAATTTAAAATCCTAACCTAGGATATTAGAAGTAGCCCTAGAAACAGGCTGGTGTCCTATTCAAATGAGTAAAACCAGAAGTGTTAGCCACTAGAGAGGCTAACCCAACAAGCTTTATTCCTACAGAGAGAAGCACAGTATTTTAAAGAAGGCTGCCAAATGATTGAATGGATTGGAAAGGCTATGATTATAGTTTGATATGTAAACTTAATCACATTTAAGTCTTTTAAAAAAAGTATTAATAGAGCATGTGGCTATATGGGCATGAAACAGCAATGCTTGCCTAAAATTTTTACCCTGGAACCCAGGTCCCTATCTGTTAATCTCTTTAACAATGTAGTAGGAAAATGCAGTATATAAGGAAAGTCACGCTGACCTCATCTCCCTGTGACCCCTCTAAGGACATGAGAATCAGCACATGAAATACACATCACAGGTGTCATCTTCACTACAGGTAGGCTTCAGTGACAAACTTTCTGCACCTAGCTCTCAAGGGTCTAGCAATGTTGCACAACTTTTTACCAAGCATAATGTTTCTTGTGGATTAGCTGTGTGATTAGTAGATTAGTATTTACTTTTTAATATAATAACCCATTCATAAATTACTTGACTTGAAAAAACTGCAGAGTGTGTGTGTGTGTGTGTGTGTGTGTGTGTGTGTGTGTGTGCATGACACAGAGAGAGAGAGAGAGAGAGAGAGAGAGAATAAGAGTTTTTAAAAAATGAACAAGTTTTCAGAAACAATTCTCTCTACGAAGGTCTTCAGGCAGGAACATGCTGCCTCATGTGCCTCATAGCCCATACACATCCTTACCCTATCATGACTACAGTAGATCCTCTCATCACTTCATTCTTGTATTCACCAAACACAGCTGAAGGTCCACCATGTGTCAGGTTTTGTTCTGTACCATCTAAAATTCTGACCATAATAAAAGTCTAAATAGTTCCCATATATGCAGAATCCTCTAGAATTGTATTCAGACCTCCACTATGGTGACTTCTACTTCCCTCTCTCTCATTTCAGCGCTCTGGGCCAGATTATTCAATCATTAAAATGTCACTTTAGTGTGTTCAAGAAAGCGGGGGAGTGAGAAGGGGAAAAGGGATATAATCTTGATAGAAGTACAGTGTTGGAGGAAGTAGAACTTGGCCTGCTACTTCATATTAGAGGAACCAACACCAGCTGAAGGATCAGCAGTCTTCCTCCATGCTAAACGCTGAAGGCTATGCCTCTAGGCTGGTCTTGTAGAGACTACAGGAGCAGATGCCAGCAGGAAGTCAGATGTTCCACCTGACTTAGCAAAGCTGGAAGTATTGGCCACAGAGAGTCTCACAAAGGAGCTAACACTTCTGCATAGGAAAGAAACCATATCATTTGAGGAGACTGCCGAGGGATTTCAGTGAAAGTTCTATGGTCGTTGCTTGCCCTTTTTACTTTATTGCCTTTAAATCCAGGTTTCTTTTTAACGTGTTAATTTTAATTGAATTGAGTTGCATTTTATCTTAGCCATAGTGGATAAAGATAAAAAAAATCCCAACCACATTTTCTTTGTTGGGATTTGGACTGAAGAGATTGTTTAATGATTACTCTTTTGACAAACTGCTCATGGACATGATTTGATCTGAAACTGAGGGGGAAAATAAGTATTACTATCTAACTTTAACATAATGAAATGTCCATATTTGCTAAGAAACCAGAAAATACTCTGTATATGTATGTGTGTGAGAGATCAACAGACTCTTTTTTGGTAATTCCTTCCCCTGCACATTTTTGATATTAGAAAGAACATACCATTAGGCAATAAGCTGGCTAATATGGAGGTGAAGACATTGCTTCAAATCTAACAACCTCTCTCTGTATTTACAGTCTATATTATTGACTAAAATCATACCTCTATATGTCCCCACTGGTTATATCCTAAGAACGCACCCAGAACCTTGGCTAGTTTTCCATCACTTCCCTGAACCAGGTCCTCTTCCAAAAACACCTCTAGTTTTCTGCAGTTCAATTTGTTCCCTGGCTCAGCCTTCCTACTCCCTGCCAGCTCACTGTCTGGGGAATGAGGCTGACTTGCTGCTGTGGAAGGAGTGCGCTAAAGAGGCAATTAAAACAACTACTCACATCGTGTGCAAATATTCTCTCCCTCACTCTCTGATATTCCTCTTCTCTCTCTTCAATTGATTTACTTCGTCTGTCATCTCTAAATGGATGCATTCTGTTTTGCTGAACAGAGAAAAGAAATCAGGAGGGTTATCCAAGTTGAGTTGTTAGAAATCTGCAGTTAAGCAACTGTCAGCTGAGAATAATAAATGTTCACTTAAGCCAATGGAGCCTGAAAAGTCTCACTCCTTTTGGTCCCTAGGGAAGCTGTGTTGGGGTACATGTGTTGTGTGTGTGCTTGGCATGCAAAACCAGGAGGTTTCTGTTGCTCCTGGTGGCTTCCTCGTTGGATGCAAGTAGCACGGATGTTTTCAAAATGAATGCACCTGAATATGCCTCAAGTGTTCAGACAGTTCAGGTATTTGATGGCTCACCAGTGATAGACTCTATCTCTCCTGTTTACCTGTATGGCTCTGACCCCTCAGAAGGAGGCAGAATGCTGATTTAAAAAAATAGAAAATAAACAAACAAACAAGAAAGTGGCTAGTTCTTGGTGGCTGGGGGAAGAAATGACTTTGAAAACTTGGGAACTGGAGAAAGAGCAAGAGAGTATTGAACAGAAGGAAAGATATGGACACTATTTCTTTATCTCCTTGTTTGCGTTTTTCATTCACTCAATGGCTGATCCTGTGTATAGCATCTGGTATAGAAAGTATGTCCAAATTCACAGACTAAATGTTCAAAACCTGTTTGTGGATAAGGGTCAATACCAAGAAAACTAAAGCAACAGTTCAAAGAACCCAGCATAAGAACTGTTTTTCGTCTCCTCACCTGAACCACTTCCTGCTTCTCAACTACCCACCCATCTTATTCTTGCCATTCCTTGCCAAATGCTCTGAACTAATCACATTCATCCATCCTTTCAACAGACACCCACTAAGTACACAACACAGGCATATGTTTCATAGTCAACAGGAGTCATGGTGTAGCTTGGTAGTAGTGGGAGGAAATGAGATACAAATGATGAACAGGTTTTTTTTTTTTTAAATAAAGTGCATCAGAAATGCACATACTGGCTTACAGTGACTCACTGAGAGTGATTAAAATGATAACTTTGGTGAAATGCGCATTGTCTTACCTTTAAGAATTCTAAAGCAAAGTCATTTTCAAAAAATCTATTTTGATTTTGATTGTCAGAAACACAAAGTATAATTGCAATGGCATTTATATGACTTTCTACTCTTCTTATCATTTAAAATTTTATTTTCTCTTGCCATTTACTTAGTTTTCTTTCTATTTACCCTGGATTCCACCCCCACCCCACCCCCATCTAGAGAAGAAATTTAGTAAAGTCTCTTTACCCTTGTCCAGATCATGAATAAAGCTACTCTAGAATGACATAGTGATTTGTCACGAGCAAAATACACAAGGATAAAGTTCTGCTACAGTTCATGCAAAACAAGCAGACAGTTTACATGGACCATAAAACATGGGAAGGAGAGCGGACAGAAGACTAAAACATGAACTCAATTCTTTTCTGTGAAGACTTATTTTAGGAGAGTTGCAAAATCCACCTGTCCTCACCATAACAAGGTTTGTTCTTTACAGCTACACCGGTTGATCATCGGTCCGTATTGATAATCCAGCTCAATTTGTGCACAACTGAAGGACAAAGCTGTAGGGAGTGGAACGACTGCCATAGTTACACAGACATCTGGAAATGCGACTGACAAAGCTTTTCCCCGCAGCTTGGAGCCTGTGGCATCCCGACCCACCCAAGGCATGCAGCGGGAACTGCGCCAAGCACCACCCATGCAGCCCAACACAGAGCCATTGCTAAAGCAACCAGGGCATTTTTTTTTTTTTTTTGCTACCCATTGAATGCCAGAGGGAGAGCCAAGGGAGGGCAGGGCAAGGAGGCTGGAGAGAAGACAGTAGAATCAGAGGCAAGGGAGGGCTGGAGGGAAGGAGGGAACAACAGAGGAACGACAAAAACATCAGTCAGCCCACCTTCAAAAACAACAATGTCAGCCACTCTCAAACTTGAGAACCAACCTGATTGTCTTCTTTATCAATACTAGAGTTATCTCGCTTCAAGATAAACCGCTTCTGGGATTCTTCACCTTTTTCATCTTTTAAATGTTCACAAAACCTTTGCTCTGGTCTGCCAGCAAAGTAAAACATATCAATAAAAAAGTTTTTTCCCCTTGTTTAAAGTTATTTCTTAGTGTAGTTTTTTTTCCCCCATAGTGGCATTTAACTGGAAAAAAAAAAGTTCACAAGTGTTTTTGATACTAGAGCTGCTGGTAATATACAGGTAGGTAATATGTCACTTCACATGTGTTGTTAGAATATCTTTTGCTGTTTTGAATTCAGAGTCTTGTTTGTTGCATGCAGCACGCCATGGCTGAAGTTAAAAAAAAATTAAAAGGCCTGCACATATATAGTTCACAGATGCTTTAGTTACTTTGACCTCTATTAATCATGAATTTACATAAGTTCCTGCCTGTATCCTTAAACACATATACATGTTTAGAACTTGAAAGTACCATATTAATTCACCAGTGTTTGGAAACTGACAGAACATCTCCCATCAATTCCTTTCTTTCAAGAATCTTTTGAATCCTTAATGAGAGAGGATTGTTTAAAAATTATTTCTGCCTTTCTCAATGACAAATGCTCAGGAATCTGCCTCCAGCGGACTTTGACATCTTTGACCATGTCTTGCAAATCAGTTCAGTAATTGGAGAAACTGGAGGTATTTAGTTTAAACAACTTAATGACTGATTAGCACAGGGAAAATGCTCCAAGCAGTTACACACTATTGATTAGTCAATTGATTTTTTTTTTTTTTTTTTGGTCTTCTTAATCATGTAGTATTATTTAAGGAAAGGATTCCACTTCCTTGTTAATTTCCCACAATTGTCATTACAGGCCACAGAACTCAATGAATGACTTATACTTGGGTTCACCCTTAGAGGAAGTGCTAAAATGTTTGTTATTGGTTCAGACACAGTTATAATTTTTGACTGTCATTAAACGTTCCCTGTCATATCTGGTGTGTTACTGCTGAAGCCTAGAAGGTTTTCTGTCCCTACTGGGTTCATTATGCCTTGAGTCATTGGGAAGCCAATTCACAGTGTGTGCTGTTTAATGTGGGTGACTAATAATTAAGATAATCTCATCATTTGCTTCCAGTTCCAAAATAAGCAAATAGCACTTTGAAAACAAAGTAGTTTGTGTTAATTCAAATGTGGATGAGACACATTCTTTCCTTAAATACGTGCACATGTACATATACATTACAATATTGGTGAGCAGACAATGGCAGAGAACTGGAATAATACCAGTTATGGTTTGTAGAACTGTGTACAATTTTTTCAAAGTGGTGTCATCTTATTCAATCTTTATGGTAAAAATCTGGTGCAGCAGAAGCAAATTTTTTTGCCTCTTTTAAAAACAAGGACACCATCCCTTCGTGATTCTTTCTACCTCCTCACTTATGGATTTACCCACTAAGCCACAGGCGTCACACAACCTGGTCACATCCTTGCAGAGACTCGATTCAGTTTCTCTCTGATTATATACTACACAGTAGGCTAAAGGACCTCAAACCCCAAAATGAAGAGCAGAAATCCTCCATCATAGCATCCTAGTTATCAATGTAAATGTTTTCCCCCGAAATTTAAAGTGTAATAAGATATCATCAATAACCTGGAAATGCAAATCAGAATACTAAAGCAATAAACGTGTACTTTACAATTAAGGGGTTATTCACAGTCAAGAAATTAAACACAGTTCAGTGTGGCATAGACACAATACACTTCAATTTCTTATTGAACAGTAGTCATACAATATTACTGTGTATAGTTGAAGGTAATACTTCTCAAGAATTTTTTAAAAGCATCCCACATTTTCAACCAATACTTACATGTTGTTATTCATTTTTTCCCATAGCAAGTGAAATTAGGATGTTGACTAAAATACCAGTGTTTATTATTTTATCAATGCTAATTGGGTATTTTCTAATATCCCTAGGCTCTGTAGTCTGACAAGCTCTAGTAAATGAAGTAATTTGCTTACTTCTAAATTCCCAGATATATTTTAAATATTTATTTGTAATTGTCTTTCATTGTTTATTTAGAAATAAAATGAGCTGAGAATGTGAAATTTTCGATTCATGAGCATGAGGTGAATTTGTTGTAAACTAACTTCTTTAAGATGAAAAGCACTATGGTGAGATTTCAGTATATTAACCAGAACTAGAATGTAAGTTTCATGTGGGTAAAGACCTTTTTGAAAACAAACAAACAAACAACAACAACAAAAAATAGCTTAACCCTTAGTGCCTAGAACCATACCTGGCACATGGGAGGCATTTTGCTGAATAAATGAGTTAATCAATGTATGAATGAACCAAAATTAAGCGCAGCTCTCATAAATCACTATAATTCAGGGACAGATCAAAAAAGACACTTAAGATTTGAAGTCACAAATTCTCTATTTTTAAAACAGAACAAAAGAGAATTTGCTTGTAGAAGTATACATTCAAATATGGAACATAAGGTAGATCTTCCTTAAAAATCAGATTTCGTTTCAGTTCATGTTAACTAAAATCAATCATAGCAATTACAAAAAAAGAGTTTTTGTTTGTTTTTAAACTGTAAGGGTATCTTGAGAAGGAAAGGAAATGAAAATGAGAATCTTAACTTTCCTAGTTTTGGAATGTCTCAGCCTGAAGTGGCATTGTAAGAGACACATTAGATATTTTGTTTAAACACCATAAGAGAGCTTATTTAAACATTATTTTAAGAATTTCATTTACATTTCTTTACATTGATGCATTATTTGTTTTTCATATATCTAGAAAAAATACATCCACAGAATAACCAAACAGCACGAAAAGGTTTATTTCAATTAATAACATAAATACAGTTTAAAACAAGAATATTTCTTATTTTGATATAAATTATGCAAAGTGAATTCTCAATAACTGCCTTTCAAATATCTTGTTTAGATCTTTTCCAAATACTAGAAATTAATATTTCAAATTATTAATTCTTTTATGTTTTTTCAAAATATTTGTTGAATGATCATAAAGTAACTATTAGAAGTTTGCTTAAGAATAATTAAGTAAAACTAATAAGATTTTTCCAGGTTGATTTTATAGTGATTGTTTTAATTCTAGAATTAAAGAGCAATTTTGCAGTTTAATCTCCTACAAACTAAGGTATACACCTGAAGTACTGCAAGTGGTTAAACTAAATATTACCAGGAATGCATCATTATATTATCGTTTTTAAAAAAATCCCTTTTACAGCTGGGCACAGTGGCTCGCGCCTGTAACCACAGCACTTTGGGAGGTGGAGGCGAGAGGACTGCCTGAGACCATAGGTTCGAGACCAGCCTGGGCAACTTGGTGACACTTCGTCTCTACAATACATCAGAAAAATTAGCCGGGTATAGTGGTGCACGCCTGTGGTTCCAGTTACTTGGAAGGCTGAGGTGGAAGGATCGCCTGAACCCAGCAGGTCAAGGCTGGGGTGGCCGTGAGCATGCCACTGCACTCCAGCCTGGGTGGCAGAGTGAGACTCCAACTCAAAAAGAAAAACAAAAAAAAATTCCTTTTGCAACTAATTTACCAACATAGCAACATTATTTCAAAGCAATACAATCAATGGAACTGAAATAAGGCATTGTGGACTTTTATTCAAAATAGTAATGGATTACGTTTAGAGTACTAATATGGAAGAGAACAATCTCAAAGCAGCAAAAGGTCACGGTATTTATTCATTAATGATGTCCATGTTTTACTACATATCTCATGGCCATGCATAATACATGCTTCATATTTTTTTTTCCTGATGGATTTTAGCCCATGAGGTATTATTTCTAGCTTCCTCTATACAATCATCAAAAAGAACAGAAAATAAATGTAATTCTTAATCCAGAGGAAAAATACTGTTCTCTTCTCAAGGTAAAAATATGCTTCTCCACAATTTGTAGCATATATATCTACTGTGAAACTCATTGCTCATGGTAGTGAATAGCAGTGGCATTTCCAGTCGATTTCTTGGCAACCCCGAACATTTGAATAGTTAAAATTAACCCCTCATTGTTTCTTAATTAGACATAGCTCACGAATTGAGCAGCAGCGGGGCTGAGGGAAGTAATCAAACTTTGTCTTCTAGTCAATCAGTCCCAATTTTAGTTAGATTTTTCTTTCCCTTGATGCTTGAAATAGATGAACACTCATTATTATTATTTTTTAAGACCTTCATATCATGAAGAATTTTTAACAGTTTACTCTCACTGCCAGGTTCTTGAGACCAAATTTATTACTTTTCTTACAAACAATTGAGCTTAATCCACTTCTTCTCAATGCATAAGTGAAAAATTTAATTTTACTAAGTACTGAGGGTCAAAAAGAGAAATCTTTTAATTTCATCCAGAGTAACTGAAAGGTGGTTATCAAATGCTTAAATATCTCAACAATGAAAGGTTTCTGTGAACAACAGAATGAAATATTGTGATAGTGTAAGATACTTATCGAAAGTATTTTAATAGTCAAATTTATTAGAGAAATTTATTGGAATGATTCCCTTAATTGAAAATTTGAATTTTCAAATAAAAGTGCTTACAATTTTGATGTCTTTTATTGAAAGTAAATACGAAAGTCTTATATTCTTTTTCTTAAATAATGCATTTCATAATTTTCATTATAAGTGTGTCATTTTATACTACTTCATTCTCTTTTAAATGAGACTGTACCCTACAGACCTAATATGTGCAGGGCTAAGTAGCCAGCATCCTTGATTAGAATCTTTAAAACTCTTATTTCCAATTTTGCAACGCCTTTGGAAAATTCATTTTTTTTTGTTTCAATAGGGCACTGTGTATGTAAGCAGAGACATGCAAACTAAAAAAAAAAAAACTTTTAACTCTCCTTTAGCATAAGACTATTCATGAACAACAATATTAGGCAGAACACTCAAAAACAACATGTGTCTGTAAGAAATTTCTTTTGCTGGTACACTGCTCTGACAAATAATTTGGCTATATGGATTAAAAAACTTAAAAATTTAAAAGTATCAATCTGACTTGACAAGATGCTTTTATTTCTAAAAGTGAAACTAAAGAAATAGTAATAAATGATACAGAGTT